GATTCTTAAGAAGTACCAATGCTACATTTATTGTGCTGATTCCTAAGAAACCGGGAGCGACGGATATCAAGGACTTTCGTCCTATTAGCTTGGTGAGTGGGGTATACAAGATTATCGCGAAAATTTTGGCGAATAGATTAAAGGAGGTGTTGGGGAAAGTTGTGTCTAAATTTCAGAATGCCTTCGTCAAAGGGCGCCAAATTTTGGATTCCGTCCTTATAGCAAATTAATGCAGATTCAAGATTGCGACTACGGGTCCCAGGAATGTTATGTAAGCTCGACATCCAGAAGGCTTATGATCACGTTAACTGGGGATTTGTTTTGTATATGCTTAGGCGATAGGCTTTGGAGAAAAGTGGTGCTAGTGGATTCAGTTTTGTATCTCTACGATTTCATTCTCAGTTATGGTGAATGGCATTCCGGAGGGTTATTTCTGTAGTAGTAGAGGATTGAGGCAAGGGGATCCTCTGTCTCCATTGTTGTTTGTCATTGTTATGGAAGCATTTAGTAGGATGCTCGAAAAGGCCGTGGGACAAAGTTTGTTAAGGGGCTTTGCTGTTGAGCATATGCAGGTTTCTCATTTGCTATTTGCAGATGATACGTTGATTTTCTGTGATGCGGATGATGAGCAATTCAGGAACCTGCGTCGTTTACTCTTGTGCTTTGAAGCCGTTTCTGGATTAAAAATAAATTTGGGAAAGTCTGAGGCTATCATAGTGGGAGAGGTCGATAACGTGGAGGTGTTGGCTGCGATCTTGGGTTGCAGGGTGGCGTAATTGCCTATGATATATCTTGGGCTTCCTTTAGGAGCACGGTTTAAAAGCACACAGATCTAGAATAGTATTGTGGAAAGGATGGAAAGAAGGCTAGCGGGATGGAAACGTACGTACCTTTCAAAGGGGTGCCGTCTTACTCTCATAAAGTCCACTTTGTCGAATCTCACTACTTATTTTTTGTCATTGTTTCTCATTCCTGTTGCAGTGGCAAAAAGATTAGAGAGGTTTCAAAGGGAGTTTCTTTGGGGAG